GTTGCCCGCATGCGTGCGCTGGTGGCAAGCTTCGGCGCGTCGCCGCTGCCCGAGGCGGAGGTGTTCCAGTCGCCCCCGGAGCACTTCCGGATGCGTGTGGAGTTCGACATCCTGCAGACGGCCGAAGGTCCGAGCTACGCGATGCACGCCGGCAGGGACCTGGTCGCCGTCGACGATTACCCATTTGCCTGCGGCCTGATCTCACCAGCCTCGAACTTGTCCCTATCCCTAAGATTGACACGCTAAAAGGAGATGTCAATCTTAGGGATGCACCCTCAGAAACTGAGGAAATCCCTAAGATCGCCATCGGGATGAGGCGATGCCCAACATAGGGATAGGGATATGTTCCAGGCTGGTAATGATCTCTGGCACCCTGATGCCAGCGACGTTGCGGGCGCTGCGGCGCGAGCCGCTGCTGAGCCGGCAGCTGTTCCAGGCTCGGCGGCGAGCCCCGGGGGGGAGGTTAGAGGGGGCGGTTTCAGAAGGTTCGGCAGTCCCCCGGCCTTCCGAGAAGTTTTCTAAGCCTTCCCCGAAGACACAGAGAACCTCTTAGAAGACCACGGGGCTTCTGAGGAGCCCCGCCGTCTGCCGAGAAGGCCTTCGCTGTCTGATTTCCCCCCCCCCCCCCCCTATCGCCGCCGACAGGTCAACTTCCACGCGACGCTGCGGGGCGACGGCCTGGTGTCGCTGCTGTACCGGACACCGTACAACAGGGTGGCGCGCAAGCAGCGCATGCTGGAGCAGGGGGAAGCGAGGCAGGCCCACCTCATCCCAGAAGACAACACCAAGCTGACGGCGGAGTGGGAGCGGGCGGCGGCCGAGCTGAGCGCGGCGCTCGGGGGCGCCAGCGTGGTGGGGCGCACGCGCGGGTGCAGCCGGGTGGCGGGGCGTCCCTGGGTGGAGGAGGAGCTGAAAGTCGAGGGCCTGCAGGCCCCCCTGCGCTACCGACAGCTGGAGGGCTTCTTCTCCCAGTCCAACGCCGTGGTGTGCCAGCACATCCGAAGCCGAAAAGCACGTCACGAGCATGCGTTTCTGGAGGTCCGCGCGGATTCCTTGGACTGGCGGCGGCGGAGGCCCCCGCCAGGGGGCTGCAGCGCCAATCCGAGAAGTCCGCGCGGAGCTCCTGCAGTTCATGCTTACAGTGGAGGCCCATGCCAAGAAGCACCCTGCTTGCCTCCAGGGTGCCCTGGGTTTCTTGTGTTTCGATGGTTTTGCTGTGGAAAGCGTGACGTTCCCACCAAAATCCATGGACGTCCTGGGGTCTCAGGGTTGGGTTTCCTGTGGAAGGTTTCTTATGGACTGCCCTCCACTGTATGCAGTTTTTCTTCTTCGACGCGTGCTCGCCTGGGCGAGGGCCGTCGCCCTCGACGCCACGGAGGCGGTCGGCGCAGCTGCCAGCGCGCCGCGCGGCGACGACCTGCTGGAGCTGTACTGCGGCAACGGCAACTTCTGCGTGGCGCTGGCGCCGTTGTTCCGCAGGGTCTTCGCCACGGAGATGGTGAAGGAACTGCTGGACACCTGCAAGCAGAACGCCGCGGACAACGGCGTCGCCAACATCACCGTAGGTCAGCACAGTCCAGCCTATCCCCATCCCCTCCCGGGCTTGGGCATCTCAGCCCCGTTGGCCGACCCCCCCCGGTGGGAATAGGCCCCGCAAGACCCCCCGGTGGGAATAGGCCCCGCAAGACCCGAAGGGAACATTGCATATCTCTACAGTCAGTGGACAAATTTGCTGGTGGGTTCGCCGCGGGCGGCTGGATCGGTCGCGCTCGGTAAACAGTGCATGGCTGCAGCCCAGGGCGTGTGCGGCTGGAAACACTCGCGCTTGGTAAAGATGCATGGCTGGAGCCCACATGAACCCATACCGTGCGCGACTGGAACGCTCGCGCTGGGTGAAAATGCATGGCTGGAACCCGCGCCGTGGGCGGCTGGACCGCTCTTGCTCGGAAAACGGTGCATGGCGGGAACCCGTGCCGTTTGCGGCTGGAACGCTCGCGCCGGGTTGTAGACGCATGGTTGGAGCCCACGCCGTGGGCGGCTGGAGCGCTCGCGCTGGGTAAACATTAATGGCTGGAACCGACACCGTGGGTGGCTGGAACACTTTCCTCGGGAACTGGAACATTTACGTTACCAGTGGCGGGATGTTTTGCAATCCCAGGATTTTTGTTGGGGGGTCGGGGGCGATGTCGGGGTGGTGTGGTGTATACTTGTTTCCCCGTTTTCCCGTGGAAACGATGAAGCATCTATACACCAGCATCCCGTATACACCAGTATCCGCTTTCTTGTGTGAGTCCAGTGCGGGGCCAGAAAAAGCGTCGGTGTATAGAGTTCGGCTCCTTATTTCCTTCGTAAAAGTTGACGGCTGGAACCACCTCTGCTTGTCGGCATAGGCGGCTGCAACACGGTCCCTCGTAAAGATTGAGGGCTGGAAACTCACCAGGTCTAGGGCTTCAAGCGTATGAATAAGTTGGGGGGAGGGGGGCGGCAGGCCAGGGGCGGGGGTCCTAGCATTGTATCCGCGCCTCGCTCCCAAAGTTGGTCCGTCCGCGGGCTCGTCTGTCGGTCAGTCGGTCCGTCGGTCGTCGTCGTCGGTCGTCCCTGTCTCGGTCGGTCGGTCGGTCGTCATCGGTCATCGTCTCGGTCCGTCGGTCGGTCGGTCAATCGGTCGTCGTCGGTCGTCGTTTCGGTCGATCGGTCGGTCGGTCGGTCGTTCGGTCCGGTCGTCGGCCGGTCGGTCGGTCGGTCGTCGTCGTTGGTCGTCATCGTCTCGGTCGTCGGTTGTCGGTCCACAGCTGGAATCCGTCTGCGCCATGGCGCGCTCTTAAAGCGCGCCGCTGGAGCCAAAGCGGCTACGGATGCAATGAGGTTGACAGCAAGGCCTTAGATCCAAAACTTGCCCGATGTGATATGTTCATGACATTTCACTACCGACAACAGTGCACTGACTGTAGGAAGGAACGACGGCAGAAACTGAAACTGTTGGCGGTGCGCGCAGATTTCTTGGATCCTGCGCTGGACCCCACTCCCTGGCGCGCGGATAGCGCCAGGGGCGGCGCCGGAGGCGCCGCCAGGGGGCCCCAGCGCCGATCCGAGATATCCGCGCGGACCTCCGAGTTTTCTGTTTATGTCATTGTTCGTTCCCCTGACATGAGGTCGGGCGTGTCCTCCTACAGGCGGATTTTGGACGACAAGTAGAAAAACGCCACGGGCGGCGCCGCAGGCGCCGCCCAATTGGCCCAGCGCAGATCCAAGAAGTCCGCAGGAACGCCCAAAGTTTAAGCTCATGCCGGTTCGTCCTCCTCTGATATCCATACGTCGGACATGCCCCTCGACAGGAGGAATCTGCAAACATAGTCAACAATAGTCTGATGACGTTTTTTTAAATACGTTTGAGTATTTTTGGGAACTTTGGAACGTTTTGAGCATTTTTTTGAATATCTTTGGGTAATAGAAAAACTGTTGAACTTGTCTTGCATGTTTTTGAATGTTTCCCGATCGCTTTGAATATTTTATGTTTTTTTTTGTTCCCCCCCCATTTATCGTCCAGACTTCGCCTGTAGGGGGACATGCCCGACCTAATGATATCCCCACCTCGATGGGCGATACCAGTGGGGATGGAGATGGTGATCGGCCAGCGCTGTGTGCTCATCAGGCCGCGTGTCTGCAGAGGAGTTGGCGCTGGCCATGGACGGGCTGCGCTCCTTCGTGCGGCTGCAGCACGTGGACCTCGGCGCCTTCGACTTTCGGACCGTGCTGGCGGGCGGGCGGCGGCATCCGAGAGCTCCACCCCCGCCGATCTACGATTCGGGCAGTGTTCTGCGCGGAGGGGGCAGGGCTCGGCAGGCGTCGAGCACGCGGCGAGATCCGAACCTTACCCCCGCCTCCCATCGGTGAACTCAGGAGAGTGGATAGTTGCTGGGTGCAGGGCTCAGACATCGCCACTTAGGTCCGACTACACGTACGAGCGACCCTTCGTTGGAGTGACCTTTGGTGCAGGTCCGTGGGGGCCCCCCGATCGCCGAGCGCGGTGCGAGGGTAGCGTCTTGCGCGCTTTCGGAGACTGTTTTTACAGGGTCTGGCGATAACGCGGGTTCTCGGGCTTGCCCCCCCCCCTTTCCAGGATAACCTCACCCAGTGGGTTGTGCAGGTCTGGGGGGGGTGGCGCAGCGAGCTCGCAGGGAGCGCTGTGTTCAACGGCGTGGTGGTATGCGCAACAGCATGCTGATCAAAGGTGCGTGGACACGTAGCAGGAGGGAGAGGAACGACGAGGAGGAGGATGGACCAAGCAATGCTTGGTCCGCGGGGGGCCGCGCACCAAAGGTCACTCCTACGGGGGACACCAGAAGGTACCGATACCGCTCTACTCCCCAGACCTCTCCCGGGGTGCCCCTTGACCAGGATTTCGAGGCGCATCCAGCGGTGGCGACGACGGAGGCCCAGGAGGCCCAAAGAAGGGACAAACGACGGGAGGGTAGAGGTATGGATACCTTCTTTGGATGCAACTCCTGGAGGGTCAAATTCTGAGTCTCCCCTGGTCCGATATCCAGCTTAATCCGGCTTAATGCAGTTTGATTCGGCTTACTCCCACTTGCTCCGGCTTGCTCCCGCTTAGTCCAGCTTACTCCCGCCCAATCCACAGCCTAATTTGGCGTAGCAGCCCCCCGATGCCGTTTAATCCTCTTGAATCCTTCCGACGAAGACCTCCCAGTAGTTGCCTCCTATTTTTGTTTCGCCACCCACCAAATCACCCCAACCCAACCCGAAGGCCTCAATTTGCCCTCCATTTCCAGGGGGGGGGGTCGGGGAACACTGAAAAGAGACATGGAACCCGTACCCCTCCAACCCGGCGAAATTCGGGTCTTCGGCTTGGGTTGGGGTGGTCTGGTAGGTAGTCATTTTCTCCTCCTGCGCGTGGCCGCCAGGTGGACCCGCCCCGCGCGGGGCTCGGCCCGCAGGTCTCCGCGTTCCTCGCGCGGTTCCCGCGAATAGTCTATCCGAGGGCGCCCCACGGCGCAGCGCCGCACCGCCCCCCGGCCTTGAGGCGGATGGGGATGATGGTGATAATGATGATGATGATGATGATGATGATGATGATGATGATGATGATGATGATGATGATGATGATGATGGTGATGGTGATGGTGATGGTGATGGTGATGGTGATGGTGATGGTGATGGTGATGCTAATGGTGATGATGGTGGTGATGATGGTGATGGTGATGGTGGTGGTGATGGTGAATATGATGTTGATGATGATGATGGTGATGATGCCGATGCTGATGCTGCTGATGATGATGGTGATGGTGATGGTTATGATTGTGATGATGATGATGAGGATGGTGATGGTGATGATGGTGATGATGGTGATGATGATGGTGACTATGATGTTGACGATGATGATGATGATGGTGAATGCGCCGATGATGCTGCTGATGATGATGGTGATGGTGATGATGATGATGATGGTGATGATGATGATGGTGATGATGATGGTGATGATGGTAAACATGATGTTGTTGATGATGATGGGGATGATGATGGTGATGTTGATGACGATGATGATGGTGATGATGGTGCTGATGATCATGGTGATGATGATGGTGATTATGATGCTGATGGTGATGATGAATGTGATGATGCTGATGATGGTGATGGTGAGGGTGGTGGTGAAAATGATGTGAATGATGATGGTGATCCTGCCGATGATGCTGCTGATGATGATTGTGATGATTTTAAATATGATGTTGTTGATGATGATGGGGATGATGATGGTGATGTTGATGACGATGATGATGGTGATGATGGTGCTGATGATCATGGTGATGATGATGATGGTGATTATGATGCTGATGGTGATGATGAATGTGATGATGCTGATGATGATACTGATGGTGATGATGATGGTGAAACTGATGTTGATGATGATGGTGATCCTGCCGATGATGATGCTGCTGATGATGATGGTGATGATGGTGATGATGGTGATGACGGTGATGATGATGGTGATGACGGTGAATCTGATGCTGCTGATGATGATGGTGGTGATGATGATAGTGTTGATGATAATGATGATGATGATGGTGATGCTGATGGTGATGATGATGGTGATGATGATGATTGTGATGCTGATGGTGATGGTGATGCTGATGATGGTGATGATGATGGTGATGCTGATGGTGATGGAAATAAAATATCTGATGTTGATTATGATGATGGTGATTATGCCGATGATGCTGCTGCTGATGACGATGATGATGATGGTGATGGTGATGGTGATGATGATGATGATGATGACTGTGATGATGCTGATGGTGATGATGATGGTGAAAATGATGATGTTGTTGATGGTAATGATGATGGTAATGTTGATGATGATGGTGATGATGATGGTGATGTTGATGGTGATCACGGTAGTGATGGTGATGGTGATGGTGATGGTGATGAGGATGGTGGTGATGATGATGATCGTGATGCTGGCGGTGATGATGATGGTGAATATGATGATGATGGTGATGACGATTATGCCGATGATGATGTTGCTGATGATGGTGCTGATGATGGTAGTGGTGATGGTGATGATGATGATGACGGTGATGATGATGATGGTGATGATGATGGTGATGATGGTGAATATGATGTTGTTGACGAGGATGATGAAGATGATGATATGATGTTGATGATGGTGATGATGATGATGGTGATGCTGATGGTGGTGATGATTGTGATGCTGATGGCGATGCTGATGGTGATGGTGATGATGATGATGACGATGATGATGGTGATGATGATGGTGATGGTGATGGTGATGATGACGGTGATGATGGTGATGATGATGATGATGATGATGGTGATGCTGATGTTGATGCCGATGATGGTGATTATGCCGATCATGAGGATGCTGCTGAACATGATGCTGATGGCGGTGATGATGATGATGGTCATGATGATGATGATGATGGCGATGATGATGGTGATGATGGTTGCGAACATAATGTTGTTGATGATGATGGTGATGATGGGGATGTTGATGATGGCGCGATGATGCTGGTGATGATGATGATGGTGATGATGATGGTGGTGATGGTGATGATGGTGATGATGACGGTGAACCTGATGTTGATGATGATGATGATGGTGATTCTGCCGTTGATGATGATGCAGATGATGATGATGATGATGGTGATGGCGATGATGATGGTGATGATGGTGATGATGATGATGGTGATGATGATGGTGATGATGATTGTGAACATGATGTTGTTGATGATGCTGATGATGGTGATGATGGTGGTGATGTTGGTGGTGATGGTGATGGTGATGGTGATGGTGATGGTGATGGTGATGGTTATGGTGATGGTAATGATGATGATTGTGATGATGATGGTGATGCAGCTGGTGTTGATTATGGTGAATCTGATGTTGGTGATGCTGATGCTGATGGTGATGATGGTGATGCTGATGATAATGGTGATGGTGATGATGATGATGGTGATGATGATGATTGTGATGCTGACGGTGATGATGCTGGTGAATATGATGTTGATGATAATGACGGTGATTATGCCGATGGTGATGATGGTGATGGTGAGGATGATGATGGTGATGGTGATGGTGATGGTGGTGATGATGATGGTGATGGTGGTGATGATGATGGGCATGATGCTGGTGATGATGATGTTGAATCTGATGTTGTTGATGATGATGATGGTGGTGCTGATGATGATGTTAATGCTGATGGTGATGGTGATGGTGATGATGATGATGCTGACGGTGATGGTGATGGAAATGGTGATGGTGAGAGTGATGCTGATGATGATGGTGATGCTGATGGTGATGGTGATGCGGATGGTGGGTATGTGTGATGCTGAGTCTGATGTTGATGATGATGATGTGGATTATTCCGATGATGATGATGCTGCTGATGATGATGATGCATGTGATGGCGATGGTGATGATGATGATGGTGATGATGGTGATGATGAGGCTGATGGCGATGATGGTGATGAAGATGGGGAATCTCATGTTTTTGATGCTGATGATGATGGTGATGATGATTGTGATGTTGATGATGATGTGGCTGATGATGGTGATGGTGAGGGTGGTGGTGATGGTGCTGATGGTGATGATGAGGATGGTGATGATGATGATGATGATTGTGATGGTGATGGTGAATCTGATGTTGATGATGATGATGGTGTTTATGCCGATGCTTATGATGATGATGATGGTGATGACGGTGATGATGGTGTTGATGAAAATGGTGAGTCTGACGTTGTTGATGATGTTGATGGTGATGATGATGATGATGGCGATGCGGATAGTGATGATGATGATGCTGGTGATGGTGATGGTGAAGATCATGATGATGACGATGCTGCTGGTGATGGTGATGGTGATGGTGATGATGATGATGGTGATGATGATGGTCATGCTGATGATGATGATGCTGGTGAATCTGATGATGATGATGATGGTGATTCTGCCGATGATAATGATGCTGCTGATGATGATGATGATGATGCTGGTGATGATGATGGTGATGATGATGCTGGTGATGATGAGGATGGTGATGCGGATGCTGACGATGATGGTGAATCTGATGTTGTTGATGATGATGGGTGTGGTGATGTTGATGGTGATGTGGATGATGATGATGATGATGGTGATGGTGATGATGATGATGGTCATGATGATGTTGGTGATTATGATGATGATGGTGTATATGATTCCGATGATGATGATGGTTGTTTTGCCATTACTGATAATGGTGCTGATGATGCTGATGATGATGGTGCTGATGATGATGATGGTGATGATGGTGATGATAAGGATGGTGATGATGATGGTGATGATGATTGTGAACCTGATGATGGTGATAATTGTGATGATGATGGTGATGTTGATGATGATGATGGTGATGATGGTGATGCTGACGGTGGTGGTGATGGTGATGGTGAGGATGGTGATGATGATGGTGGTGATGCTGATAGTGATGATGATGGCGAATCGGATGTTTATGGTGATGATGGTGATGATGATGGTGATGCCGATGGTGATGGTTATGGAAATGGTGACGATGGTGATGACGGGGATGGTGATGATGATGGGAATGATGATGGTGATGATGGTGACCATGATGGTGAATGTGATGTTGTTGGGAATGATGATGATGATGATGATGTTGATGATTGTGATGATGATGGTGATGATGATGATGCTGATGGTGATGGTGATAGTGATGATGATGGTGATGCTGATGATGGTGATGCTGATGGTGATGATGATGGTGGATCTGACATTCATGATGATGGGGATTATGCCGATGATGATGCTGCTGCTGATGATCGTGATGACGATGACGATGATGATGGTGACGGTGATGGTGATGATGATTATGATGGTGATGATGATGGTGCTGCCGATGGTGATGATGATGGTGAGTATGTTCTTGATGATGATGGTGATGGTGATGTTGACGTTGTTGATGATGATGATGATGATGATGATGATGGTGATGGTGATGGTGATGGTGATGGTGATGGTAATGATGATGCTGATGTGATGATGATGGTGGTGCCGTTGATGATGATGATGGTGAGTCTGATGTTGATGATGACGGTGGTGAGTATGTCGATGATGATGATGCTGTTGATGATGGTGATGATGGTTTATGATGGTGATTATGGGGATGATTGAGATGGTGAAGACGGTGATGATGTTGGTGATGATCGTGGTGAATATGATGTTGTGGGTGATGATGATGGTGATGATGATGATGGTGATGGTGGTGTTGGTGATGTGATGGTGATAGTGATGATGATGGTGATGATGATGATGGAGATGATAGCGATGCTGATGGCGATGATGATGGTGAATCTGATGTTGACTGCTGATGATGGTGATGCTGCTGCTGGTGATGGTGATGTTGATGATGGTGATGTTGGTGATGATGGTAATGTTGATGATGATGGTGGATCTGATGTTGTTGATGATGCGGATG